CATGCTCCCTCAAAACTTGCGACATCTGTGGCATTGTGCTGTGTGATATATATATATATATGATATATATATATGATTCTAACATACAATTTTATAAATTTAATTATATTTTTATACAATTTTAATAATTATACAAATATAATTTTACATTTTATACATTTAAAATATAATAATTATATATTATAAAATAATTCAAAATTATACACTACCAGTTAAAAGTTTGGAATAAAAAAAAATTTGTTAATGTTTTTGAAAAGAGTCTCTAATGCTCACCAAGGCTGCATTTACAACTGCTTTCTATTTTAATGTGTTTTAAAATGCAATTTATTCCTGTGATGGCAACGTATTAATTTCTCTTCTTTTTTTTTAACATACTTTTTTAATGGTAGTGTATCACACTTTCAACAAAAATATTAAGCAGCAAAACATTTTCAACATTGATAATAATAAGAAATGGTTTTTGAGCACCAAATCAGCATTCTATTGCTACTGAACATTTAGCTTTGCCATTACAAGAATATTCAAATAAATATATTTGGAGAAAACTGTTATTTTAAATTGTAATAATATTTTACAATATTAATGTTTTTACTGTAGTTATCATCAAATAAATGCAGCCTTGATGAGCATAAGCAGCTTCTTTCAAAAACATGAAAAAAAAATCTTAACTTATTTCAAACTTTTGACCACCCAAGCAGTTTGCATTTGATGCATTACATTGAAATACAAGGTTTTTGACATGGGTGGAAAGATGGCACACAGTTTAATTTTATGCAAGTGTTGAAATTCATGTTTTCCTGAATCTAGAAACATACAAAACCGCTCTGCTCTATTTAGCATTGATTGAAACAAGATGTTTTAAAGCAAGGCATATGAGAGAATCTCAGTCCCTCAGGAAATGGTAAATATAACTAGCCCACACTATGGCTAAGCTGAATCACCGCCGGGACAAAAAAAAAAAAAGATATTTAACCATAAATTGTTACTTTTGTCTCTCCCTGAGGATTTAGAAGCACGAAATCACAATTTCAGGCTATTTAAGGTAAAAGATATTTATAAGACCAACTCAGTTGAGCAGAAAATCCTGTAAAATCAGAACCATCACCTCATGCATGCATACATTTATGCGTGACAGCAAAAACAAACTAGCATGTAGCGCAAATCGCATCACCAACAAACAAACACACATTAGCAGATATTCTCATGGCCCATATCTCCTGTCCTCCACCCAAGTTCAGTTGCTCCAGATGTTGCAGATGGCTGTGTTTGTGGAGTTGCTGGCCCACACGTTGCCTGCAGTCCCAGGAGACCTGAGAGCCAGGCCAGACACTGAAGCAACGCTAACATCTGGGCCAATTTGTAGCCTTGCCCTCTTATTTTCTCGGCCTCCCATACACGTCCTTACCTTCTCGCTCTCTCACTTCTCTGCATGGTTTACACTTCTCTCGCTTCCCCTCAATCACACTCTTCACAAAGATAACAGATTTTAGGTTTTGAAGCGTTCATGTAAAAGAATGCATGGGAAGCTGGTGATGGAGGGGAAATGAGGGTTCATTAAAGCAGCCAATTATAGGATCAATTAAGCAGAGATGCCCCTTTTAATGGTGAGTGATCCAATATGCTCAAAATTAAGTATAAGTATAAAACATAAAATATATATTGATATTGGGATTCTTATTATTATAAAAAAAAAGTAAAAAATGCATTGTATGAAGAATTGGTGGCATCTATTTGAGAAACTAATATGCATTAGACTTAAGCATGCAACGTTACTTCAGCCCTTGCAATGAATAAGGGCGACAGGATATGATATTATGCTCTAGACAGTCTAGAGCTTCTGTTTATAAAAAAAATGTATATGCTTTGATTAAAAGAAATAATAAAATAGAACCATACAGTATATATAGGATATAAACATCACAGATTGACCTCTTGGCAAAATACTTCGAATTAAAACAGCTTTGTGTGTGTGAGTGAGAGAGACCCTGGACCACAAAACCAGTCATATAAGGGTCCATTTCAAATCTCAAAGCTGAATAAATAAGCTTTCCATTGATGTATGGTTTGTTAGGATAGGACAATATTTGGCCGAGATACAACTATTTAAATATCTGGAATCTGAGGGTGCAAAAAAAAATCTAAATATTGAGAAAATCGCCTTTAAAGTCTGGAATCTGAGGGTGCAAAAAAACCAAAATATTGTGAAAATCGCCTTTAAAGATGTCCAAATAAAGTCCTTAGTAATTCATATTACTAATCAAAAATGAAGTTTTTATTTATTTACGGTAGGAAATTTACAAAATATCTTCATGGAACTCTTTCTTTACTTAATGTCCTAATGATTTTTGGCATAAAAGAAAAATCTATAATTTTGACCCATACAATGTATTTTTGGCTATTGCTACAAATATACCCCAGCGACTTAAGACTGGTTTTGTGGTCCAGGGTCACATATATATATATACCGGTATATATATATATATCTTTAAGCAATCTGAAGCACATACCCTGTAGGGGAGTCTACGATGATGGCTCTGGGATTTACTAAGTCTGTGTCAAACAGAACACGCCTGTCACTTCCATCAAGGTTAGTTGTTTCAATCTTATCTGATGTGCTGTCCACCCAAAACAGTCTTCTACGGGCGACATCTATAGCAAGACCTTCTGGACTCGTCAGAGCTGAAAAAGATTTATTATATTATATTATATTATATTATCAGATTTGAATAATAATTCAAAATAAACATACCTATGTTGATAATAATCTCAGGTTCTGATCCCGGCTCCAGACTGGCTCGATTGATTGTCCGTCCAGCCAAATCCGTCCAATAAACTTTCCTTTCTCTGCAGTCGTAATCAATACCGACCACTATAGAGCCCTGAAAGAGTAAACAGAAGAGAATTAGTATACTTTTCTCAAAGCCGTAGACTTCAGTATTTCAATCAATAGTGTGCA